GTAAGCAAACGCTGCCATGTCGACGTGCTTCGTCAAACGCGCCCGCCGACGTACGTCGGAAGACAATCGGCGACAGTGCGCCCTACTAGGGTTGGTCGGCACCGACATCTTCCCTATTCGACTACCGCGACTACCCGCGTCCCACCTGATGGCGAGTCCAAAGCATCTCTCGGTGAACTCTTTCTTTTGGTCGCGAAGGACGGCGTAGTCGTTCCACTCTAAGGTGAAGCTGAGACCGCGACCCATTTGCACCCGAAGGGGAAAGTCGGCCGATGTCGGCGCCGACTTATCGGCGGCGGAGATCGGCTCCATATCTGTCGACTAAGAAAAGAGGCGGACGGCTCTGGTAGGAGAGAGGGGAGGCGCAGAGCTGTCAATGTTTGAAAATCTAAAAGACCGAAAATGCGGAGCGAGGCCACCTTCCACAGAGAAAAGGAGGTGGTGCCCCCCCCCCCCCCCCCCCATGCCCGTTCAGCATCGCCCAAGGATGCAGGGCCTGGCTCGGCAGTGCTCGGAGGGCGGATGCGCAAGTGGCACAGGTGGTCCGTCTCCGCCTTGGTAGAGCGTCGACTTCGCGTCCATTGGCCCAGGTCGGCGAGGGGACGCACGAATCCTCCTGCGCGCGGAGCGACGCTACAATCGACACGTGTCGATTTCGTAGCGGTTCGCGACGATAGAATGCATGCGATGGGAGAGAATTTATTTCCGCCTCGTAAAAAATTTCGCATGCGCCCGATGCGAAGCCACGGGCGAACACGTGGCGCCACCGCTGCGAATCGCGAAATTGTCGAGTGTCCCGAGGGGGGCCCGTATTTTCGCACGGCCCTCGCCTGCCCGTCCGGGCAGGCCGCGATGGGTTACTAGGACCTCGCGGGCAGGCAGCACGTGTGGGCTGCCTTCGCGCGAGGGTAACTTTCCCTCGCGCGAGGGGTCGCCAGTTCGCCGACCCCACCCGGTAACGTGGGTCGCTGTTCAATTTCGGAGGGCGGCGGTCGTGCGCTCGGCCCAGCCCTGGGCCAGGCTGGCGGGCCCGCACGCGCGTCAGTCGCCCGCCTCGTCAGGCCCTCCTCCGACGACCCCTCCCGTCGACACTGGCAAAACGGGTCCGACGACCGAGTTCCGATGAGGCTTTCGGGATGAAACCGAGGTTATGGCTTGGTTGGAGCAACGCGTCCTAACTAACCAACCCCTACGTGCGTCACATGCTCGAGGGCGGGAGATGCTGCTGACATCGACGGCCTCTCCCACGAATCGACGGTTCAGATGACGTTTGCTAAGGTTTGTGTTCCGAACCTCAACGATTGGCTGTCATCTCGTGTCGTATGCCCCTTGGTTTCAACGTTAGCCCCCGCAAGGTCAGGGGCGGCGTAGTGAGCGAAGGGTTTCTCAACAATATTATACGAACATGATTCCGTCTAACGAGTATGCAGGCGAAGGTCACATTGGTCAGGCGGTAACCAGACGGATCAGGTGAACCGAAGTGATTAGAATTTGACAAGCTCAGCGGAGTTGCCACAAGGTGAATTTCTTCAGTGATATCCTTACGAAACCAGTGATCAGTCACGCCGCGACTTCGTATGTCGACTCCAGATTGCTGCAGCCACGTCAAGCTAGGTGTTATAATGACAAACCCTGATATCTGCTGCAAATGCACGTCACGCCAAAGTATAGCGTAATTCCTCCCTCTTTTAGGTTACAAGCAGCGCTAATCTCCGCGCTTCCTTCTTTCTCTCTCCGCGTCGTACCTCGCCATGCCGTACGTTCCTCCTCATAGGCGAGCCGGCGCGGCAAGTTCCGCTACCGGGTCTGCTTCTAGCGAATCTGCTTCTACGCAGCCATTTGTGCTAGGTCAAGGACCTCTAGGTTCGGCATTCGGGTCGGGAAACAGGTTCGGAGGACGAGGTCGAAGCAAAGGCCGCGACGAGCCGAGTGGGGGACGAGGCAGAAGTTTTTTGTTCAAAATGAAACCGTTGGATTCTCCCAACGCCGTTTTTTGCACCCTGGTCGACGATTTTGAGCAGCGGAAGTCCTCTGTCACGGGGCTTGCCTGTAAACGGGATCGTGCTTGTAACGGGGGAAGTGCTCGTTGTAACAGAGCGGTGTACAGGTTTCAGCCAGATCTTGCTACGCTAAAACTAGATTCGGAAACAGAAGGAGGTGACAACGTCGAAGCATGTGCAGACTCATCACTTTCTGGTGTCACTTTCTCCTCATCACGCTCTCTCTCGCAATCGCCCTCTCCTTCTCCCTCTCCCTCTCCATTTCCCGCTCCTCCCACTCTCTCTCCCTCGCTCTCACCCTCTCCCTCCTTATCCGACTCCATAATGGTTCTTCTCCGCGGGGCTTTAGAGGCCGCTCATAGAGACATGCAAGTCACAGGAGCGCCTCTGATTGGTCAACCCCGGGTTGTGGATCGGTGCAAGCTGACGGTGAAACTGGGGAAGGTTCGGATCAAGCAACCTCGGGGATCTCCGGGGTAGGTGGGAGTGGCAAAGAGAGTGCAGGGTGAGATGGGTCTGGTCTGGTGGGTGTGGATAGATGCAAGCTGGCAGGGAAACTGGGGAAGTTTCGAAACAAACCACCTCGGGGATCCCCAAAGTAGGTGGGATCGGCAAAGAGAGTCCATTCGCTGCTCTCCAGTCTGCCTTCACAGCAAAACCGTCGAGCAGGCATGCCTAAACCTCTCTGTCATACTCCCCTGCATACGTCCCCTTGGTGCACCTTTCTGAAACTCTCTGAACCTCTCCCCGCACCTTTCCCCACCCCTGCATACGTCCCCGCTCTGCACCCGGTTGCTCCTCCCCAGCCTGCCGCCCTTCACAGCGGGAGCACCGGAATCTCATCTGAACCAGCAGGGTCAACGGTTGCCTCTGCGCCTCTTTGCACCCCTCCCCACCTCTCTGCCTCACTCTGCGCCCTGTTGCTCCTCCCCAGCCTGCCGCCCTTCACAGCAGGAGCGTTGGAGTCTCATCTGAACCAGCAGGGTCAACGGTTGCCTCTGCGCCTCTTTGCACCCCTCCCCACCTCTCTGCCTCACTCTGCGCCCTGTCGCTCCCTCCCAGCCTGCCGCCCTTCACAGCAGGTGCGTTGGAGTCTCATTTGAACCAGCAGGGTCAACGGTTGCCTCTGCAGGTCACGCGCCCATACGAGAAAGGATTGTCAAAGGCGGTGTTCAATGCGATGGAGAGTGGTGCACTGGAGGAGGGGACCAGGTGTTCACACACCAAGACATTCTACCATCTACGTGTATTTATTGGATCAGGTAATAGGGGGAAGAAAATGGTCTGTGGAGGTGCTATGCTCTGGTAGGTAAGGGCGCGTGTGATCAAAGTTCGAACTTCCCAAAGTTCGAACTTTTAGAAAGGTTCTACACGGTAGGATACAATTGAGCGATGTCTCTCCACGATGCAAAGCGGTTTGAGTTCGAACTTTGACAAAAATCCTTGGATCACACGCGCCCTAACATGATTTTGAAATTCTTGCCTCTGAAATGCGTGGAGGTGGTGTGGTCTAGGTTTATGGTTTGGTATGTGTTTTGGTGAAACAGCAGGAGACTGTGACCTGTTCTCTTTGTTCGTCTCTTTCCTCTTGACTATTAAGTCGACTTAGAATTCACCTCGTTAGGCATGTGTTTTGGTGAAAAAACAGGGACTGTGATGTGTTCATCTCTTTCTTCTTGTTTTGTTTCCTCCTGGCGCTATCCAGACTTGAGCTACTCTTTTCACTGAGTCAATACTAAATTAACTTAACACGATTTCTTTCGCATTTTTATCAGCGTTCCCATCCCGTTCTCTCAACTTTTTTTGCCCTTTTCCGCCGCCCATAAATTGTGACAGGTTAAAGACATCAAGGCGGACATGACTTACAAGCTCATTTGCGTTCCTCACCCTGATGGTACAAGGCTTATCCTCACTAAGGTGTGCTTCAACAATTCATGAGTTAAATATGCTAATATATGTTTTTATTTGTTTTCATATCAGGCATTCATCTCACTCCTCCAATTCCTCTATTTCCCCCAAATTCTTTGAATCACCTGTAAGATGCGATAACCTCTAATCTCTCCGTTCTCGTCTTGTTTTTTGCCCGCATTTCTGGTTTCACCCCCTTTATCCAAACCCTTAAGGTCAAGTGCCATTCAACGCGCTATGCATTCATCGACGTGGCTCGTCCTGTCAACGATGTTGACTTTCGCTTCTTTCTCAGAAAGGAATCCCGGGTCTGCTCCCTTGATGTGCGTAAGAGGGGTGAGGAGGGGTGAGGAGGGGTGAGGGTGAAGTGGGTTCTGCTCTCTTGACAGTGTATGAATGGTAATGGGTGAAGAGTGATGGGTTAAGGTGTAGCGCGAGGGGTGCAAGGCGAGGGATTTGGAGATGTCAGGCTCTGCTTTCTTGACTTGTGAGGGCTGAGCGGTGAGGGGTGAGTATGAAGGGTTCAGGCTGAGGGTTGAGGGAGTGCAGGGGTGAGGTGGTTAAGTGGTGAATGGGTGAAGGTGTGAAGGGGTGAGGTAACCCAAGCTCTGTGGCTTTGATATGTGTGTTAAAGGATGAACGGCTGGAAGGTAGAAGGGTGAAGGATGCAGGGGGTAAGGATGAAGAGTGAAGGGGTGTACAGGTGAAGGGGTGACGGTTAATGGTTGAAGGGTGAAAGGTGAAGGGCGAGGCTGAGCTTTTGAAACTGGCTTGTGAATGCCATTCCTCAGCCTGAACCGCTTGTGATGAATGTGAATACCATTCACGCACCCCTCTCGTCCTGTAGTGCCTTGGCACTCTCTTTATTCCTCACTCCGCTGCACCCATCCCTCTCTTCCGAACACCTCACATCCCCAACGCCCCTTCCACTCATTGCCCCCTTCAGGACGCCATCCGGTCTGCCTTGGAGCGCATAGCATCGACTGCACTCAATGACATTCATCCCCATTTTCTCCTCACATCCCCGTTTCTCACTCTCATCCCCGTTTCTCACTCTCATCCCCGTTTCTCACTCTCATCCCCTCCCCGTTTTCAGGACACCACTCGGTCTGCCTTGGAGCGTATAGCATCGACGGCACTCGTCGACGCCTCATCAAAGTGCCTGCTGCGATGGCCGCCTGCCTCCCCACATCTCGATTTTGATGCCACGGCCTTGCAGCCACGCCCCTCATCATCATCGTCATCATCCTCATTTTCCCCCTCTTCGTCCTCACCCTCATCATCATCCCTCTTATCATCATCGGTATCGCCTGAGTCACCTTCTGCCGCTGAATTCTCTCAAAATAAGCCGACAACGCTTCGGCAAAAACCAGCTGTATCACCACCCAACAAATCACCGCCAGCCACGTCACCACCAGCCTGTCGCTTTGTGCTCGCGGGTGTGTGGTGCCTCAAAAAACGGGTGATTACAAGTGAGCGCGTGGTGTGGAAGCTGAATGAGGTTCACGAGGCGGTGTGGTATCAGCCTGGAAGCTCCCTCAAGAGCAGCATCGATGTCTACCCGCGCAGTTGGGGAGAGACGATGAAGGTACGATACGATGCTCTATCCGTCACAAGTTGGTGAATGCAGGCAGGGGAGTGCGTGGTGTGGAAGCTGAATGAGGTTCACGAGGCGGTGTGGTATCAGCCTGGAAGCTCCCTCAAGAGCAGCATCGATGTCTACCCGCGCAGTTGGGGAGAGACGATGAAGGTACGATACGATGCTCTATCCATCACAAGTTGGTGAATGCAGACAGGGGAGTGCTTGGTATGGAAGCTGAAGGAGATTTACGAGGCCGTGAGGTACCAACCTGGAAGCTCCCTCAAAAACAGCTTCGATGTCTATCCCCGCAGCTGGAGGGATTCAATGAAGGTATGATGCTCCATCCGAAGCTGGTTCACTGATTGCAGGCGAGCGTGTGGTTTGGAAGCTGATTCAGATTCACGAGGCTGTGTGGTATCAGCGTGGGAGCTCACTGAAATGCAGCATCGGCGTTTATCCGCGCAGCTGGAGAGACGATAAAGGTATGACGATCCGTCCGAAGCTGGCTCATGCTGTCAAGTCAGAAAGGATCAGTGTTTGGAGTCTGGTTTTACTATTTTTCTTGTTACATTCTTGCTTTGCGGTGTGCTCTTTCCATGCGAGGCATTTAAGAGCTCGTTAAGTCCAGTTGGCATGAGACCTTTTAGAGGAAGGGTGTGTGACTCAACAGTATCTTCCCAAAGCAGTAATTTTGAATCTGCTGGATCCTTCAACCCTTCCTGAAATATATTTCACTTTGCATCGTGAACAACTGTGCTGTGGAAGTTTTGTAACTGCTTGTCCCATTATCCACATCCCAAGAAGGCCAATGTGCGGCATTGCAATGTAGCTCCCTATCTTTCCGAACATTCTTCTTCCATTCTTCCACCCTCCAGCTCCCCTTCTTTCTCCGCTGTTCTCACCCTCCCCCCCCTTCTCTCCCTTCCCTCCATGGGTGCATGTACAGTACCACGATGCAGTGTTACAATTGGGCTGATCTTGGGCTGGCTACCCATGTGCTTCCCAGTGAATCAATGCCATGCTCCTACTCGGCCGAGTCTTGCTTTGATTCGAGCTTGCAGCAGGCAGCTCCACAGTGGTCTCCAGACAGCATTATTGCTGATTGCCCTGCGTTTATAGAATGGTTGCAAGAGCGCCTGCCATAGAGGCCAGGCATTCAGGAGATGTTATCGTGCTCCTACCCAGCAGAATCTTGCTTTGGCTCAAGCTTTCAACAGGCAGCCCCACAGTGGATTCCAGATAGCATTCTTGCTGAATGCCCTGTGTTGATAGGATGCTGTAGCAGCGCCTGCCATAGAGACCGGAAGGCATCCAGGCAACACAAATGTTCTTATGAATGTGTAATACACTTATGTCATTCCCCACACCTGTCCAAAATTGCATTGTGCCATACTACACTGCCTTACATCTCAATGTGTTGTGTGACGCTAAATCAATGAGGGTGTGAACGTTTGCAACGTCAGGAACACATTGTCCCAGGGTACTAGAGAGGTACATTCTGGGTTGGCTTAGCAAGGACGAGCCTGTAGATGACTCTGATTACAATTTTATGTTATCCTTCCTTAGTTGTTCACACAATGATGATCAATGTGAAACTGTAATGCAAGGCGTAGATGAAATTGAGGATGTCGCACACTCAAAAGTGAATGGTAGACAAACCCCAACGAAACCGTAACCAGCGTTTTGACGAAAATAAGATTGTTCGTTCTCGCGCTGACATCGAAGGTCTATCCTTTCGTGACCAATCGGGATGTGGCATGCCCATGAGGACGGCTACTTCGCGATCTTGGCCTGGTCGGATGGGACTGACTGTACCCTTGAAATTGCCGACTTTTTTACAAGATGCTAGAACGATGATAGTCGGTGGAGGCCAGCATAGGTACTGAACAGAACTGAATTTGTCGATAATATTCGTCTGTATTGTAAGCTCCTAGCATAAGCCTTCTGGATTGACTCTGCGAACAAATCCCGAGAGTTTAGGGAAACCATGGCCATGATCCCCCCCGTGTAATGGGTAATGCGGTTTATGGCTCGTTTTCTTGGGCGAACAGCATCATGTATACCTCGGTCGGCGAAATCAGTGATATCAGCAATCAAGCAACTGATGTATACAATGCTCTAGTTTCAGAGACTCCAATTCCCAGTTCCACTCCAACTCCTCCCTCATAACTGACAGAACTTCTTCCACTCCATACAGAAAGTCAGTCTCAATGGCTCCTTCTGATATTAGTCTCACGCCTCTTTCCGAGCCTGAAATATTCGTCGACGTTGCTATAGCGGGGGCTGGTCTTGGCGGTCTCGCGCTGGCAGTCGGTCTGCAGGAACGAGGCTTTAACTCAGTCATGCTATTCGAGGCCGTGCCTTACTCCCGCTCCCAAACCGGCACGACTTTCGCCATGCGTCCCAACGGCATCAAAGCGCTCGAAGGGTTAAAGCCCGGGCTCGGCGACGCTGTAGTCGGCTGCGGATCAACGATCACGAAAACTAGGTTCGTTAATCGATATTCGGAACTTGAAAATAGCGATGGCTGGGTTGTGAAGGAAACGGCGGCAAGCGTGCCAATGGTAGGGTGGGCGCGAGGCCAAGAGGTTATTGCCTCGTCTTTAACGCGACCCGAGATTATTAAGCACGGACATCGCGTCGTGGCGTATTACCCTGTCGTCGCAGGAAAGCCCGTTGTGAACAGGGGTGGCGAATTGCAAAGAGGTGGAAGCAATGATGGCGCTGGCGAAGGAGAGGTGGAAGCGGTTGACGTGGTGCTTGAGGTTGTGGGTTCGAATCCCGAAATTGACAGCAATGATTCCACCTTCGCTGTTTCAGAAGGAGCTGGAACCGCGGAGGAGGCAGGAGCGGTGCAGCAGCAGCTTCAGCTGGTGGTGGTTCGTGCGAAGGTTCTGGTCGCAGCGGATGGCGTGCGATCAGCTGTGCGAAATCAGATGATCGGCGACTCGCCTCGGTATCTGGAGCAGTTTGGTTGGAACGCGCTTGTGCCAAATCCGCCAAGCGCGAGAGTGTACCCACAAGAAGATCACGAGTTGCTTGTATTGACGGATAAGGTTACTGGCTACCAGATATTTCTGTTTGACGCTGGCCACGGGAAGACCTTCTGGCAGGTACTATGCTCTCCTTTCATACTTTCTTCTTCTGTTCTGATCTAATTCAAGACACACCCGGCACCACAACCATGTCACAGCATCCTGTTGAGATGTTCATCCGGTCTACCCAATAAAAGGACACAAGGCTGAAATCACGCTTCCTCTGACCCTCAGGATTTTCGGTCGCAACATAAGCGCATCCCCTGAACCTTTTGAGACCTTTGATCGTCGGCAATCCCCAGCGTGACTGACAAAGGGTGGAAAATATTCTGCAAAAGCTTGATGCCTTTCTAGTCGGAACCTTGTCTCTTCTATCGAGCCAGCGATGATGCGTTTCTGGTCGTAAGAAACTTGTCTCTTCATTCTGGTGATCCTTCGTTCTTGTTTGAAATGCATTTCCGCTTATCTTAGCTTCCTCGCTGCTATGAATGATTCTTTCCGATTTAAGGTTCGCACTGCTGATCCTGATGGCAAGCTCAAAGCCAAACTCAAGAAAACACCCTTTGGAGGATTCGGCAAGCCTGGCGTCATGGATCGTGTGATGTGCCACGTCAGCAAAAATGTCGCAGACCCCACAGCGCATGACACCTGGCATACTGTGCTCCAGGCGGTTACCATCACCGACCCCGGTAACATCTACGAGCGGTGGATGATGGACCGGCCTCCTCCAAAAGATTCCTGGAGCGACTCTAAGTGTGGAAACAGGGTTGTTCTTATGGGGGATGCCGCACATGCCATGCACACTGGTCCAGGGCAAGGGGCTCAGACTGCCTTTGAGGATGCACACCAGTTGTCTCTCTGCCTTGCTGACGTCAAGGATATGCTTGCCGAACCTGTTGCTGTGGCTGCTGCAGTTCGGGAATATGAGGCTCGGCGGATCGATCGGTGTGTGAAAATCCATGCGTACGCCACTGGAATGCTCGAGTTTGGAGAGGAAGGGAAACTTGTGAAGGCGCTTTCTCCGCCTGAGAGGATTCAGAGGCTTCGGGAATTTCAGAATTGGGTCCATGCGTATCCAGACAAGATTAAGGGTGACCCTGAATCCACCTACTTCAAATGATCCTTCAAATGCTGTACACGCAGTCGACGAGATTATGCGCAATGCAACCTTGAGTCCACTCCACTGGAATCTAGTTGGCACTGGAAGGTTAATTACCGTAGGTGTTGAAAAGTCTCTGGTTGGATGTTTTTATTATCTGGCTGAGTGCCGATTTCTGGGTCGGGCGGTTTGGCTGCTGGAATATCTGCTTTGGCTCACGGCACGGGTATGGTTTTTGTGTGTGTCCAAGAACGTAATTGGTCCCATCCGGCGACTTGTAACAGATAAATATGTGCTAAACAAGTCAGCTTTCATGTTGCAATCATGTGCAAAATGGCAGAATCTAGTGCTAAAGAGTTGGAATTGAAACATGGTGCTGCTGCTGTCTGTGTAACCTGCCTTTTGAAGATCTGAATAACTGCTTACCGTGGATACTCCGTTACAAGTAACTTCTGAGGCACTCTATTCCAAGCACACTGTAATCCTTGGCCACTAATGTAACTACCATAGTCACTATTCTTAACAGCTTCAGCACCAACTGAATCACCATGATGTTAGAATCTAGAGACAGGAATGAATGCATTGATCAAGAGTTGGGTACATAAGCTAACCCTAACATTGGGTTGTACCCCATATGGGCTTGTCAAATGTTGTAGCCTATAGTGAGGTTTGTCTTAGGGGGTACAAACTTAGAGTTAGCTAAAGGTACCCCAGTCGAGGTCTCCCGGTTCCTCCTCCCCCCCTCTTCCTGACAGCCGCTCCCCCGCCTGCTCCCCCGGTACAGCCTCCCCCCCCTGGTCCAGCCCCGTCTGGTGTGTCTCAGGCTAGCCCTCCCCCTTCGGTAGCCCCCCCTGTACAGCCTCCCTCCCCACAGTCTTCCTCGCCGCCTCCTGCAGGTGCTCCCTCTCGAGAGGTTGGTCCGGCGACTGTCCCTGTACAGGTCTCTGGTTCTGGGGGTGCTGGAGTTGGAGCTGAGCCGCGGGTTGCAGAGGACTCTTGTCTTCCGGGGGCTGGTACTGGTCGTGCGGAGTCTGGGGGTGCTGCGTCTGGGGGTGAGGGTGTCCCTTCGGTTTCTGGAGGGCCTGGGTCTGGAGCTGGTGTTGGTGCTGCCTCTGGGGGTGGTGTGCTTGGTGCTTCGGAGGTCGACTCTGGGGCTGCCGCTGCCCCGGACACTACTCCTTCCCCCCACCCCTACCCGACCAGGTTCCAGGCTCGTGTTCGTCGTGCTCGTGAGGAGCAGCTGGAGTTGGAGAGAGAGGAGAGAGAGTTGCAGCGGCTCGAGGAGCAGGAGCGACAGCAGCAGGAGCAGCAGCAGCCGCAGCAGCAGCAGCAACAGCAGCAGCCGCAGCAGCCGCAGCAGCAGCAGCTGCCGTCTCCTCCTCCTGTCTCGGGTCTTCGGACCCTTGGTCTCCCCTCTCCCTCTCCTTCCTCCTCCCCCTCTCCTCCCGTCTCTGGTCCTCCGCTTCCTCCTCCTGACCCCTCTCCCGCTGTTTTCCCTCGTTCTCAGTCTTCGTTGTCCCCTCCTCCTTCTCAGACTTGGGCCTCTCGTCGCTCCCCTCGTGCTCGTCCCTCGTCTCCTGTTCCCTTCACTGACCTTCGTACTGCCTTACTTCGTTCTAGTCCACCTCGTCCGTCTCCGTCTGTGCTTCCGTCTCCTCCTGAGTCGGCTCTCACTGCGTCGCTCCCTACTCCTGTCACTGACTACTACCGCACGTACCGTCCTCTTCTCTCTCGTGTTCTCGCCTCACTTGTTACTCACCCTCGTGCCTCTGTGTCCTCTGTGTCCGCTCTTACTGCCGCAGTCACTGAGTTTGCCTCTACCCGCCGCCTTGACTTCGCCACCGCTCTTGTGGCTGCTCCTCCTTCCAGTCCTCTGGCCGTCGGGGGTGTGTCTGCCCTTGGCTGTGACGCCCTAGAGGACAGGCAGTTTGAGCTAGAGTTCCTGGCGGCCGCTTCCCCTCATCTCTGTGCCATGCTCCTCGCCCCTGAGGGTGACCCCGACGCCCTTGACATTCCGACTCCTCGCACTTACGCTGAGGCAGTGTCAGGGCCTTGGGCCTCTCAGTGGAGAGCTGCCATGGACACAGAGATGGCCTCCTATAGATCCACAGGCACCTACGTCGATGAGGTTCCCCCTCCTGGGGCGAACGTAGTCGACGGCATGTGGATCTACAGGGTGAAGCGGCCACCGGGATCTCCTCCGGTCTTCAAGGCGCGCTACGTGGCTAGAGGTTTCAGTCAGCGCGAGGGAGTTGACTTCTTTCAGACCTTCGCGCCCACCCCGAAGATGACCACTCTTCGGGTGTTACTACACGTAGCAGCACAGAGAGACTACGAGTTACACTCTCTCGACTTCTCTACTGCTTTCCTTCAGGGCAGTCTTCACGAGGAGGTCTGGTTGCGTCGTCCCTCTGCCTTCACTGGCTCTTTCCCTCCTGGGACCCAGTGGAGGCTGAGGCGACCGGTTTACGGTCTTCGTCAGGCTCCTCGTGAGTGGCACGACACCCTGCGTTCTACCCTGTCTGACCTTGGGTTCCAGCCGTCTTCTGCTGACCCGTCGCTGTTCGTTCGTCGTGGCACCACACCTTTCTTTGTTCTGGTCTACGTTGACGACCTTGTTTTCGCCACCCCTGACAGGGTTGCTTTGGCACACGTGAAGTCCGAACTGCAGAAGAGACACACCTGCACTGATCTTGGTGAGCTGCGCCACTACCTTGGCCTGCAGATCACCAGGGACAGAGCTGCTCGCACCATTACACTTTCACAGTCGCACATGGTGCAGCAGGTCCTTCAGCGGTTCGGGCTTCAGCACTCCACAGTACAGCGCACACCTCTTGCTGTTGACCACAGACTCACTGGACCCTTTCCTGACGAGCCGTTCGAGCCTAGTGGTCCCTACGCTGAGCTTGTGGGTTGCCTCATGTACCTGATGACTTGTACTCGCCCGGACCTCGCCTTCCCTCTCAGCGTTCTTGCGCGCTTTGTTGCGCCAGGGAGACACCGTCCTGTTCACTGGACAGCAGCTGTGAGGGTGGCGAAGTACCTAGCGACGACGTCAGGCGTGGGGCTAGTTCTTGGAGGGCAGCAGTCTGTCGTACTTACTGGTCACTGTGACTCCTCTTACGCTGACGACGCTGAGACTCACAGGTCTACTCAGGGGTACTGTTTCAGCCTGGGTTCTGGAGCTGTTTCCTGGCGGTCCACGCGCTCCTCTTCGGTCTCGACCTCTACAGCTGAGGCTGAGATCTACGCTGGTGCCATGGCGGCACAGGAGCTGCGTTGGTTGACCTTCTTGCTCACCGACCTTGGTGAGCGGCCGAGCTCTGCACCGACCTTGTTCACTGACAACAAGGCGTCTATTCTCCTTTGTCGAGAGCCACGACTGGAGAGCAGAGTGAAGCACATTCACGTCAGGTACTTTCTTCTGCGAGAGTTGCAGAGGCGTGGACAGGCTCGCTTTGAGTTTGTGGAGTCCGAGGCCAACACTGCAGACATCTTCACCAAGGCGCTTCCGCCTTGTGACCACCAGAGGTGCTGTGTGCAGTTAGGCCTTGTTGACACTGGTTCTCGTGTTGCTTAGACTTGAGTGTACTGTTTACTTTGCTTTCTATATATCTCTGTTACTTCTTGGACTGGCCTTGTGGCCACTGTTGTTTGTGCTCAGACTGTGTGGTGACGTTGTGATCCACCCTGAGCTTTGTTTCTTGGACTGGTCTTGTGACCGTACTCGTTTGGTTCTGCTAGACACCCCTCACTTAGGCTATGGGGGTGTGTCAAATGTTGTAGCCTATAGTGAGGTTTGTCTTAGGGGGTACAAAACTTAGGGTTAGCTATATGTACCCCAACCAACATCAATGCACCATCCATTCTTCATTCTGACAGGGCTACCCCACTAGCAGCCTACACAAACACAATATGCATAGTTTGACACACCCCCATAGGCAAAGTGGGGGAGAACAAGGGGTCACAAGACCAGTCAAGAGAAACAAAACAAGCTCAGGGTGGATCACAACGTTCTCAGTAACTAAACACAGCGGAATGGCTTGCATTGATTGAGTTGGGGTACAAGTACCTAACCCTAATTGTTTGTACCCCATATAGTATGACCCACTAAGGGCTATAACATTTGACACACCCCCATAGCCTAAGTGGGGAATGCCAAGTAACAGAACACAACCTAAGGTCACAAGACCAGTCACAAGCAAGCGAGAAAACAAAGCTCAGGGTGGATCTCAACGTCACCACACATTCTGAGCACAAACAAGTGGCCACAAGGCCAGTTCAAGAGTGTACAAGCTAATATATATATGGTACAAACAAGCAAGAGGCAAGAACTCACTACTGCAGTCTACTAGACCCAGTCTCAACAAGGCCTAACTGCAGACAAAACCGGCGGTGGTCACAAGGCTGAAGAGCCTTGGTGAAGATGTCTGCAGTGTTGGCCTCGGAGGCCACGAAGTCCAGACGTGCCTGTCCACGTCTCTGCAACTCTCGAAGGAGGAAGTACCTGACGTCGATATGCTTCACCCTGCTCTCCAGTCGAGGCTCACGACACAGGAGAATCATCGCCTTGTTGTCAGCAAACAAGGTCGGTGCAGAGCTCGGCCGCTCACCAAGGTCAGTGAGCAAGAAGGTCAACCAGCGTAGCTCCTGTGCAGCGAGGGCTCCAGCGTAGATCTCGGCCTCTGCGGTAGAAGTCGCAACAGAGGAGGACCGAGTAGACCTCCACGAAACAGCTCCAGAGCCCAGGCTGAAACAGTAACCCTGTGTAGACCTCTGTGACTCAACGTCGTCGGCGTAGGAGGAGTCGCAGTGACCGGTGAGTACAACTGGCTGTGTCCCTCCAAGTACAAGCCCCATGTCTGATGTCGCGCCGAGGTACTTCGCCACCCTCTTAGCTGCCGCCCAGTGAACAGGACGGTGTCTCCCTGTCGCAACAAAGCGAGAAAGGATGCTAAGAGGGAAGGCGAGGTCCGGGCGAGTGCACGTCATCAGGTACATGAGGCAGCCCACCAACTCTG